GAAGATTGGGAGAGACAAATAAGACGCTGAGAAAATCCATTTAATTCAGGTCGTGATTGGCTTTGTATGCCAAGGTAAGAAATTCAGACCTTACCCATTAGGCGTCAAGGACCCCAGAGAAAATTTTGAGCCATTTTTTTTATGAGGGTTTTTTGCTTGGTGGTTTTGTTTTAGATAAAAAGTCTGGCAGTTCGGAAGGCCAAACCCTAGAAGGCTTTTGCAACAATCCACACCGGAAGGTAGGTCCAAATTAAAGTGGCCTTCGGGCAAATAGAAAAGAGGGCACTGAGTAAAGACATTAGTAAGGTATGTGACCAAGTCTCAGGGAGTGAAGGACTTAAGGGAGATTTTACCAGAGAGCTCTCACCTTCATGTCGAGCTTGCATTTGACATAGTTGATCCTTAGGGTTGAAAATGAACTTTGGCAGCCGTTTAGGCCCCTGTGGCCCCACCTTCCCCTGGAAAATGCCAGCACCACTGGTGGTTGAGGGCTTCTGTGAACCAGCACTGTGCCGAGCACCTCCCCTGCTGAGTCTCACTTCCTTCTCACAGCTGCCAGTGAGTCGGCTAGGTGTCACAGGTGGTTGTGCAGATCAGAGATGCTTTAGATGTTAAGTAATTTACCCAAATTCATACAGCCAGTAAGTGGCAGAGCTGGGCTTTACCCTAAACTGCTAAACTTGTGCAGTCACTTCTAAGATGCTGCTGAAGTTGGAAGCTTTTATTCCCCCGCCTGGGCTTCCACCGCCTGGTTTTCCCTTTTGACTGCCCTGTCTGTCATTCCTGCCTCTGATTGTGTCCTGTGCTGCTTTTGTGGCAAGTCACATTATGGAGTTAGTTTGCCTAGTGGGTCCCATTATCCCAGATCTGTAAAACAGTGAAAGCATGTCCTGCCTTAGGAGAATGAGTTTCTCCTGGAAAGAAGCATAAAATCATTAGTGCTAGTCTGCTTCGGACTTCCACTGCAAAATGAGTAGGATACCTTGTGATATCCACTTCAGTCTGGAAAACAAAAGAATGCTTTAACGTCTGTATCTAGAAAGGTTCGGAACCCACTCATCAAAGCTGAGGGTTTAATCTGGAAAGTGATTTCCTGCGGTGCGTATACCATCTGGAGCCGACAGTGGCCCTGGGATGGAAGACTGCCCGTTTTAAACTTAGATTTGCTGTCTCCAGTGTCAAGTCTTGCTCGGGATTCCTCAGTGCATTACCTCTGCCCTTTCCCAGTTTAGCTTCTTCAAGACTCAGCTGTTCTCCCAGTTCCTGAAGCCAGGGGAATTTTCAGCTCTTAAGTTGTCCGGAGCTGGAGCATTGCCTAGAACCTGGATCAGCCTTAGTGTGTAGTCCATATCCTTGCTTGAGTGTGTATTAAAGTCACAGAAAAGACTTTGGAATACAGACTTTGCAGCCGCGAAACCCTGGTTGCATGGTCTTTCACAATGCCTAATATGACAAATGTGGAATTGCGCCTGTTGAGGAGGAGCCAGAAACCCGGCTCCTCCCACTCCCCCTAAAAATACTGCATGAAAAACCAATACCGTTTCTGGCCACCTGGCAACGTGCTGTGTTTGCTGGGATGGCTGGCAACAGGCGTAGGCTGAAGTTGAAGTATAAGATAAATTCTGGCTTAAATTTTAAATTTTACTTATCTGTAGTCATAGAAATAAATAGCAAGATGATAGACTTAAACCCAACTTATTAGCCATTACGTTAAATGCAAAAAGGCTGAGCACTCTAAAAGATTTTCAGATTGGATTAAAAAACAAGACAATTATATGCTAGTTACAATCACAGAAATGTCAAATTCAGGTTCACTAGGTTCAAAAGCCTTTATTACTCAAATGTATTTCTCTCTGGTTCTAGTAGCTAAGTGGTGAACACAGCAGTGAAAAGGGAATGATACAAACAAGGTCACCGACTATTAATGTCCATTTAAAAAATTAGTATAGGAGTATCATTTTTTTAAGGTTTGAATAGTCCTGAAGTATATAAAATAGAAAATGTTTCTGTCCCCTTACCCCCAAATCTCACTCTCCTCTCTCAGGGCATCGTCTTCTGGACATTTTTCTATGCACTTAATTACTTTTTTCTAACCTATAAGCTGAGATTTTTCTGACAAATAGATATCAGTGTATACATCCATGCCCTTTAAGATAAACCTTGACAATGGGGCTCATCTCCTTGGAGAATCCATTTGTGGTCTTATTTCTGTAAGCCAAAGTTTTGTGAATTTTGGTCCTATTTATTAGGGTACTAATTCTGGCACCTGGTTATCCATGAGAACAGGCTATGCCTGGCCTGAATACAAAAACTCATTGGCATTTTACATGTGCAGTCAGATCCTTATCACCCAAGAACATTTAGACCCACAGAGAGAAGGAGTAGAGAAAGTAGAGTGTTCCCTCAGGCTTTTCCAGGACTGAGGGCAGCCCCAGCAGCACTGGAGAGTGGTATAGCAGAGCTTTCAGAGCACAGCCTTTGGACCCAGGCTGTTTGGGTTCAAATCCCAGCTGCATAGCTGACTAGCTGTTTAACTTTGAACAAGTCATCTATAAAATGAGCCTCACAGTAGTGCTTACCTGATAGGGTCATTGTGAGGGTAACATGAGGTATATAAGGCGCTTGGAGCAGAGTCCAGCATGCAATGAATGCTGTTTTTGCTGTCCTTGATGCCGACACAGGTGGTCACTGAGCCACACAGAGAAAGGCTGCACATCTTGATTTCATTGTTTAGAAATCTAAATGGAAGAAAATTCCCTCAAAGAACAGTAAAAGTGCTTTCCTTTGTACTTTTACCTCCAAAAAACTGCCCGGATATGATTTTCATGGCTCATCTTTAAGAGATTAATACTCGCTTTTTTGTGGTGCCCTTCATTTTCCAAATTAGGAACTTTTTAAAAAAAAATTAAATTTCTTATGACTGCTTTCACACTTCGGTTTCAGTATTTATAAAATAAATTCTCTCCACTCACTTGGGAACATGAAGAGAATGTTTCTGTGTTCTCGCCTGGGATGTAAGATGTAAAATACAGGTCAGAGGACAGCTGCAAGTGATAGGATACTGTCAATTACTGTTTCATTTCATAGCTTATGTTTGATATTTAGGGAGAAAAGGTTTCCATTTTCTTGGAGTGGGAGAGGAAGCACACCTTATTATCTTTTAACTACTTGCTAAATAGAGGTTGGGGTCAAACTCAGGGTAAAAGAAAAACCATTGAAAATATGTTGAGTTAGCAGGAGAGCAACCTTGAAACTTGATTCAGTAGGTGCAGAGGGCTTCTCTTCAGAAGGAGGTCATGACAGGCCTCAGTTAGCATATGCCCAGACCTAAATATGGTGATTTGACATCTTGGCAGTTGCTTATCACAATTATAGCTTAGTCAAGAAGGAATTTCTTTAAAAACATAACAGTGATCCATTTTCTGTGTTACATGACTAGATTAGTAAATAACTCACATGATTAAGTGCTCAAGTTCTACGGCTGAGCTGCCTGGGTTCAAATCCCAGCCCTGCCACTTACTAGTTGTGCGACTAGTTGATCTCTCCATGCCTCAGTTTCCTCATCTGTAAATATGGTCATAATAATAGTACGTATAGATGTACTGTGAAAGTTAAATGAGCTGGTAAATGTAAGCTCTTAGAATAGTTCATGGCACAAGTTAAGCATTCAATAAATGTTCTTCCTATTGTTTATTACTATTATTTACCATTACCAGGCTTCAGCTCAAAGCTTATTGACTCAGGTTGGCCTAGAATATCAACACTGATAGGGAGCTGAGGCAGAGAGTAAGAGAGAGAAACTACGGCCGGCCCGGTGGCGCATTGGTTAAGTTCACAGGTTCAGCTTTGGTGGCCCGGGGATCACCGGTTCAGATCCCAGCTGCGGACATGGCACCGCTTGGCAAGCCATGCTGTGGTAGGCATCCCACGTATAAAGTAGAGGAAGATGGGCACGGATGTTAGCTCAGTGCCCATCTTCCTCAGCGAAAAGAGGAGGATTGGCAGCAGTTAGCTAAGGGCTAATCTTCCTCAAAAAAAAAAAGAAACTAATATTGATTAGATCTATTTTCCAAGTGCTTGCTGTGCTATATATACATTCTTATTTAATCCTTAGGGTTCATTCAACAATTATTTATCAAGCTCCTGCTATGCAACAGCCCCACCTTAGAGAGTCCCCAGTCATGAAAAGGCGCTATTCTAGATGATGGGGAGAATAGACCGTGCCCTCCTGGAGCTCACTGAAGAATAAAGTGAGGCTCGAGAGGTGAAGTGACTTTCTGCAAGGCCCTGACTCCAACGTGGGAGTGGAGAGCTAAGATTCAAACTCAGCTGTGGAAGGCAAGATCTGTGCAGCTGGGAACTATTGACCTCTCTCCACCTACCCCCGTCTCCTCACCCTGCTCAGGCCGCCTAGAACTTTCTCTTCTACCTGCTATAAATAATGGAGAGAGGGAGAGTTATTTTATTTCTGTCAGGCCGCACACTGACAATCACAGATGGCGCTGAGGCTGAGGGACTGCTTCATTCTCCTGAGGTGCAACGAAACACGGAGTCTTGGATCTGAAGCCGCTAGGGAGAGAGACACAGGCTGCAATCTCTGCTCTTGGTACCACTAAGCACCATTATGTGCTTAGATCCTCAGCAGAAGTCAAAGGGCCTTCACTGTCCTGTTTCAAAACTCCTGACATTTGGCTTTTTAAAAATTAATTTTGTTTTTTAGTGAAGTTATACATGCTCCTAATTTTAAAAGTCCAAAGCACTAAAAGGTATATACTAAAACATCACATCCACCAAGCCACTGCTCCCTGCTCCTGACTCCCTCTTCACAGAATCTAGGACTGTCAACTCCTTTAGCTTTTATTGTACCATTCCTTCTTAACTTACCATTGTTGTTTTAATCTGCTGACATTCTGTTAGGGAAGTAGAGGATTTAGAGTTCTTGTCCCACTACCATTCTGGTTATGTAGGTATTGCTTAGTGCTTCAGTCAGAGTCCTGGGAGGAAACAAAGGGCACCCTCAAATTGGGTAATTTGAGGAGATTAATAAAGGGATTATTTACAAATGAGCAGAGGACAGAGAAGCCGTAAGGAAGTGCAGTACCCAACTTACCAGGCCTAGGCCTTGCAAGGCGATGGAAAGAAGTGGTTACCAGGAGACAAGAGAGACCCTGACAGGAGTTAAGGAGCACAGCCAGTCCATGGTCCCACAGCAAGGGCTCCGTCTCACTCTCCCTCTCTCTCAATCTCCAGTGAAGGGAGAGGGCGTGGAACACCATTGCTGTGTGGTTTGTTCAGGCCAGCCCCCCAGAGCCCACAGCAGGGTGAGCAAATAAGTAAAAGAGTGAGTCAATTTAAACAAAAGTTTTGAATAAATAATAGTATAGGTGCTATTCAGGAATGGCAGACATTGTGACAATGACTGAAATTCGGTAAACACTAATCCTGCTGAGTTGCAGCTAGCAAGTGCTACATGATCCAGAAAGGAGACTTAGGAAGCACATTTCTTTCCAAAATAGCCCTGGGACCTGTGCTCTTCTGCCTCCTGGTCCCCAAGCTGGAATGGAAACTAAGGATTGCCCAGTGTGGGCCTCCCTCCCGGAAATCACTCTTTGTTTCTGTGGAATGAAGGTAGAAATGCTCTTGCCCTGGTATGAGTTAGCTGGTTCCCAGCTGCGAGAGGCTCTCTGCAGAGGATGTGACCCAGAAAAGTAAAGCACACCTGGTGGAAACCGCCTCTCCCTTAGAGCTGCTCTTCTGCTCCCAGGGACCTCCCTTCCTTTGCACCTTGCTCTGGCTGCTCTGAGATGCAGGCTGAGCATATGGGAGGGGCTGGCAATTGACAGTTAGCTGGAGTGTTCAGTTCTTAGCCTCGGGGAGGGCAGCTGGCTGCTCACTCATCTCAGAACTGCCCTGGAACAGCTCCAGCCCAGACAAGGCAGGGCAGGTTGGAAAGCAGGTGGGATCAAAGGTCTCTCTTGGCACCCGGGGCTGTCCCTCTTCTTAGATTGGGCTCGAGAGCTTCGCAGGAAGTATCTTCAATTCAACATTCCAGATTGCCCCGACACAACAGAAGAGGGAGCTAACATTTATTGAGCACCTACTGGGTGCCCAGAGCTTTGCATTGAAACCTCACAGAGACCTATGAAAACAGTATTATCCCCATTCTACAGAGGCTCCACGAGATAAGTAACTTGCCTAAGTTCTCATAGTGAGTGACAGAGCCAGGAGTCAAACCCAGGGCAGTGTGAGGCCAAAGCAAAGAGCCACAGTAGGGGAAAAACACAGCAGGCTTGTCCCCCGGAGACTTGTGCTTCCCTCTGCTCTGTCTGGACATTGCACAGCTGCCTCTCTTTCCAGCCTGTGAGAAAAACAAGCTGAGGGAGGCCAGGGCCTCCCTTTCTGAATCCACGCAAGGATCAGACCAGCCAGCGTGTGGCAACGGCCAGGCAGCATGGCCAACTGAGGGTGTCTAGAAACACCCATATGCTTGACGTCATAGACCAAAGACACCATAAAGAACTAGGAAACCGGTAGCACCCCCATGGCCAGCCCAGCCCTGTATATGGAACTGACTGTAGTACTGTCATGAAGCATTCCTCTTTAAAAAAAAAAAAAAAAAAAACTTGGAGAAGGCAGGCATTGTATGCAGGTTCTGGAACAGCCCTCACCTGAGAAGGGGTCACGCTGGGCCTGGGTGCAGGGCCAGGAAGAATTCCTTGAACAATTGCAGTCCAAAATAGAGGAAACAAATGGTCAGAACAGTGACCACAAACTTGCCTCTCTCCTCAGCTCATTTCCTGAGACAGGAATACGGTTTATTGAGCAATTCCTCCGTACCAAGTCATTTTGTTTGCATTAAACCTGCTGGGTGGGTACTATCATTTTTCCTATTTCACCCCTGCGTAAAGGCTTAGCATGTGACTTGCCCAGAAACACACGGGCTGTAGGAGCAGAGTCAGGGTTTGAACCCCAGTCTGGCTGGCTCCCAAATCTGCGGTTCCCCCGAGACCCTCTTCCTGCAGGGCGATAAGTTTGGCGCAGCGCAGACGGAGGCCCTGCTGTGTGCCCCTCCCGGCCCCACAGGAGATGTGGAGGGCATCTCTGCAAGTGGTGGGGGCTGGAGGGAGATGTCTATATTCTGAAAGGCCTGGAGAGAGAGAGATAGGGCCTCCTCAGGGGGGGTCACTCCGGGCTTTGTGTTCCCCGCCCCCCCTGCCCCCAGGACTTAACCAAACAGCCCAGAAACAGGCTGTCCGGAGCTGCCCCAGATGATCACTTTGCCCCCAGCACATTCCTGCTGCTCACATGCGGAAGGGAGCAGCCTCTGTGCAGAGATGCCTCGTGTAAAGCTCATCGATTTTCTGCTTCGTCAGATCAGTTAGAGTCTGCGGCTCCCTTTGGAGAGCCCTCTTCAGCAAGGCCTAGCAATCGCCTTGAGAGCCCCTGAGGAACTCCCCGTGGACCTCAGGGCAGCTGCTCCTGGTCTCCACGCAGGGAGCCTGCCCAGGTGCCACCTGCAGTTCACGTCTTCAAAGCCCGGCTACAGCACCTCTGGCTGTGTGACTTTGGGCAAGGGCCCTTACCTCCCTGAGGTTCAGTTCTGTTTCTGTAAAACGGGGATAATGATGTTCCCTACTCCACAGGGTAGTGGTGAGGATTAAATTAGATAATGCATTCCAAGGGCTTGGTAGGAGTGCTGGGTACATATTCGATATTTGGGAAACACGGGGGTGATTATTACTGCAATCCTCCCAGCGTCTGGACCCACGAGGTTTGGTCTCCCAGCACTAAGAAGCACCCTTCTGCAATCACAAGTCATTTCAGAACAGTTCAAATCCTTGGCTCGCCCTTGGGCAAAGTGAGAGCGGAGACCACAGTGACGTCCACAGCAGCACCGACCGAGAATCCTCTGTCCCATCTCATCGCTTTCATTTGTCTGCACAAGTTAAGGCAACGCTGTTCAAAGTTCCCACCCCCACTGCCTGCCAAATTTCCTGGGGACAATTTCTCTTCCTCTTTATTACACAGATTAACCGCGTGCAGACCCAATCCTTCTCCATACTACCGTCCTATTTATAGTCTTCCTGGACCAGGTATTCTTGATTCTGCAAAAGCCCAAAACAAGTTGAGCAAAGACCAACTCCCCTCCAGATTGCGAAAAGAAGTTGAACAGGAAAAGGAATGCCCTGGGGAGCAGGGGAGGCTGTGAACTCTGCCTGGCACGTTATTTGTGCACTTGAATTGCAGGCCCGCTCCCGTGCTCTGCCCCCAGCGCTGTTCTTGGAAGCAGCGTGCACAGGGGGCTGGGAAGAGTTGCAGGAGGAACCAGGATCCGTGCCACTTTGCATTCGGATTTGCTTGTCTCCTGGAAACAGAGTCCCTCTGAAGACGCCTCCCCAGTCCTCGAGATTGTGGCAGTGAGGTCAGCTCCGTGCCGGCCCCCACACTCCATGAGGAGAGCGGACAAGGGAAGCAAGTCTGCCCTCCCTCCCCCTCGGGTCTCTGACTCCACATTGATAAATACCGCACCTGGCTGAGAGCCTGCCAGCTCCTCAACAGCCCCAGGGGCCATTTTGGGGGTAAGGGTGGCAAGAACTGAGAGTATTGCCTCATCCATTACAGTCTATCTCCTGCGCCACCACCCCCTCTGCCAGGGAGAGCAAAGTCTAAAGCCGGCTAACATACTGCGGAATTTTCAACTTTCACCCACTGCCCTGAAGAAGGTCTAACCACAGAGCCCCGCAGCCTGCCCTGAGGAGCGATTCCATGTGGGAGGGAAGGGCTGGGCTCCAAAGGAGGGCCGTCTCCGCAGGCCTCATTTCAGGACCTTTCTCAAAGAACTCCTGCTGAGTCTGAAGTCTTCCAGGGCAACCCAGCTGGGCTGCCTCCCTAGGCTGTTCCCAAGTCGCAGTGACGACCCTGGGGTGTGATGGGCCTACAAGGACAGTCAGCCCTCCTGGGTTCTGCATGGGAGCCCTTCCAAGGGCGCTGGATCTCGATTGTCACCCAAGGTAGGAAGCTGTGGCCCCTGGTTGCCATGGAGATGCTGGCACAGCCTGTGCCCATCTGTGGTTGACAGGCAGCCTCCCTTAGGAAAGGAGGAGGAGAAATTTGGTTGCTTGAGAACTAGCTGGGCTTCGGAGGAGAGTCTGTGACATCACGATCCTGCAGCTGAGGGGGCTGGAGAGGAGGCTGAGGCTGAGAGTTCTGTGAAAACAGTGCCCCACCGAGGAGGCCTCCCCCCAATCCTGTAGCTTTAATGGCTGGAGTGTGGCCTCCTGCAGAGTGAGGCCTCACTGCCATGCTGCCAACCCTAAGCAAGGGCTCTTGGAAGAGGTTCTGATACAGTGGAAAAACCCCAGGAGTCAGAGACGGGAGTAAGAGCCACACCCACAGTGCCAGGAACTAGCCCAGGCTGGTCTGGTGTGGAGGAGAAAGCACTAGACTAGTTCGGAGGTTGGCCCCTTAGTCACCACTGCAGAAGGCAAGAGCGCTTCCCTTCCCTTCTCCGAGCCCTCATTCCCCACTGTGTGCATAACGTTTGCCCTGTGGGCCAGACAGGGTTGCTGAGAGGCCCTGCAGTGTAAGCAAAGCAGGGGCAGGGGTGAGAGGCTGGTGGGACAGGGGGCCAAGGCTGTGAGGCCTCTCCTAGGCTTTCACTCCTTCTGTAGCTAAAACTGGACGGTGAGGTAAGTTAACATGTCCTTTGAGAGAGCCTGACGCTGCAAGTGTGTTTGTACAAAGGGCAGAGCTTGGCCCTGCATGCACGTGGGCTGTGCAAGGCTACTGGCATGCCAGGGAGGCTGGTCAGATAGGGCCCTGGTGCAGCCCAGTGGGCAGCCCCTGCCTGCACCTTCCTGCAGCCATGAGGGAATATCTATCACGCTCGCCCTTTGATATCCAAGGAGCAAAGGCCTAACTGCTCTCCAGGCTGGGAGGCACCCCACGGAACACAGAGGGGCAGAGGGGTGCAGGGGAAGGAAAACTAGTCCCGGAGCTAGAAATCCACCTGGCTGCCTACTAGCTGTGAGGTCTGAGACAATTACTTTGTTCTTTTTTTTTTTTTTCGTGAGGAAGATTGGCCCTGAGCTAACATCTGTGCCAATCTTTCTCTTTCTGCTTGAGGAAGATTGTCACTGAGCTAACATCTGTGCCAATCTTCCTCTATTTCATGTGGGATGCCGCCACAGCGTGGCCTGACGTGCAGTGCGTAGGATGCGCCGGGGAGCCAGGCCATGAACCCTGGTTGGCAGGCACAGAGCAGGAATTTAACCACTATGCCACCAGCCTGCCCCCTGAGGCAATTACATTTTTTGAGGTTTAGTGGTCTCACCAGTAAAAGAGGTAAAAATTCCTGCTCTGCTTATCCCTCCTGGTTGAGGTGAACGTGCCATGAGAAAATGGACATGAAAGCAACCCTAACCCACACACAAATGAAGGACCCAGGGAGCTTTCTCTGGCTGCGGGTGGGGGGGCCTTCTCCATGTCTGCACTGGCCTCACCACAACCTGAGATCCCTCCTGGGGTCCAGGGAGCTTTCCTTTGCTCCTCTTAACAGAATCCCAGGCTCCCCCTTGGAGCCAGAACCCCCTCCGGTATACCAGAAAAATGAGGTGGGACTACCTTTTCAGGCCACGGTCCTCAGAACAGGCTCGAATAAGGGCAGAGAGCCTCCTTCTCCAGGAGAACCTGCTTTGTGAGATGTAGCTAGATGCCTGGCTGTGTCCAGCCGTTTAAACAAAAACCCAGGGCCCACAGACCCAGACTTCAGTGAGGGTGCCCTCCAGCCAGCAGCTGCACCGCTGAGAAGACCTCCACCCTGGTCTCACGCTCCAGCCCCAGGAAATTCCAAACGGACTTCTCTGGCTGTAGTCACATTTGCAATGGCTTTGATCCTCTTGGAATTTTACAGGAAATTACCCTTCTTTTTTGAGTTAGGGCTTGGAATGTAATTCCCCATTTGGTAAGATTTAAAGGTTTAAATGTATCTACACAGGAATCAGAGAGAGATGGGCTCCTGTTATCAGGAGTCTGCTTTCAAAGCCCTTTGAGACTGTTTTTATTAAGAATTCCAGCACTCACCAGTGCCTCGGGAATTTTGGACCCAGTTTGGAACTAACATGGGGCACAAGAGAATGCTAGGCCTGGACTTCCTGCTGCTATGAGAAGAGTCATTTCCTTGACCATCCACCTTTACCCCAGGAGGAACCCTCATCACTTCCCAGAATGGAGGCAGCTTTGCTCTGAGGCCCAAGCAATTGTAGCAATGAAGGAGTGTGCAGAGCTTGACTCACTCAGAGCCCCCCCTGGATGTCAGAACTGGAAGAGAGAGACTCTCTCGCGTTTACAGTCAGGATGCTGAGGCTGCAGAGGGAACGTGGCTGCCACAATGTCACCCAGAGGTCCATGACAAAGCCGGAGCAAGAACTCAGTTGTCCTGACCCTCAGGTCAATGTTGCCTCTCCACCAGGCTGCTCATTCATCATGGCTTTGCTAAGCCATGCCTGTCACTGTCCTTGCCCCCCAGGGTGTCAGAGGGAAAGGCTGTCACAGCTTCCCACAGTCCTCTCCTAGCCTGATTAGATAAGGGACACTTTCTGCTTGTTGGTGCCCACACTGAGGAACTTTTGCTTGGAGTGTCCTTGGGACTCCCTCTGCAGCATCAATTTTGGGGCCCTCAGTTCAGAAGCCACTTATATTCTGGTCTTTGCCTTGGAAGCTATCAATGAGATGGAAAGCTTGAGGCCTAACTCCTTGTCAGTGGAAGATGGAGAGAAAAGGGCTCAGCTCTTATTTCTTTCCTGCGGTAGAGAAGTCTGTTTGGGCTGCTATGACAAAACATCCCAGACTGAGTGGCCTATAAATGACGGAAACTTATTTCTCACAGATCTGGAGGCTGGGAAGCCCAAGACCAAGGCGCTGGCAGGTGTCTGGTGAAGGCCCACTTCCAAATTCATAGACGGCCATCTTTTCACTGTTTTTTTCACATGGCAGAAGGGGTGAGGGATCCCTCTGGCATCTCTTTTATGAGGGCATTAACCCCATTCATGAGGGCTCCACCCTAGTGACCTAATCACCTCCTAATGGCCCCACCTCTAAATACTATCACTTTGGGTATTAGGTTTCAGCATGTGAATTGGGGGGTGCCGGGACACAAATATTCGATCTATAGCAAAGGGAATCCAGAGTTTCTGAGGTGGATTCTGTTAGGGGATGTGTGAGGAATGAACTCTGGAGGGAATGACAGTCCAAGCCAAAAAGGGAAACAGAGGCAGCATCTAGCACCTGAGGATGAGCCCAGCCTGGAGAAGGGGAGGAGACAGAAGGGGTACCAGTAGAGACGGCCCCCAGGAGAACTGGAGGAGTCGGGTGGAGTCCTCAGCTTCCACTCCATCGTGTGAGAGATGGATGGGGCTGGGGGTGACATGAAGCAGTCTCCCAGGGGCAGACGGCTGCTCTCTTGCCAGATGCAAGGGAGAGAGCAGGCCCTGGCCTGTCAGGGACAGAAATGGATACAGCCATCTGCATCTTAGGCCCTGCAACTCATGAAGGCCAGCAGCCTTGTGACCACAGAAAAGGTGAAAAAAGTCAGGCTGTCAGCAAGTGTTCAGAGGGGCTGCGGGGCTGTGCAGGGTGTGTCAGAGAAGCATGCATTCTGTGTGATGCGACTGGAGCTGTGTAGGTTCTGAGCATCCATTGACTATTATTACAAAACAAGGTGCCCCTTTTTCCATGACCTCTCAATCACCTCGCTTTCACCCTATCTCCCCCATTCTTCAAAAACTGCAGTGACTTTCACCGACAAAGAAAAAACAAAAAAATGAACCCCCTAAATTTCTTAGCCTGGCGTTTAAAGCTAAAGATTCAGTAAACACACTTTGAATTTCCTGCCTCCAGGCGTTTACTCATGCTGTGTTCTCTGCTTTCCGAACACCTGATCTTCACCAGTTAAAGTCTGTTTCTGGGCTGAGCTCAGATGCTACCTCTTCCAGGAAGCCTTCTGTGGTATCCCCTGCCAGAGGGGGACTTCTCTCCCCTCTGAATGCTAGAGCAATTTTTTCTCCCTCTTTTGTGGCAGTGTTACATTCTGTCTTGTTTTTTTTTTTTTTTGAGGAAGATTAGCCCTGAGCTAACTGCTGCCAATCCTCCTCTTTTTGCTGAGGAAGACTGGCCCTGAGCTAACATCTATGCCCATCTTCCTCCACTTTATATGTGGGATGCCTGCCATAGCATGGCCTGCCAAGCGGTGTCATGTCCGCACCCGGGATCTAGACTGGCAAACCCCGGGCCGCCGAAGCAGAGCATGCACACTTACCCACTGCACTACCCAGCCGGCCCCTCTGTCTTGTATTTTAACTACAGAGGGGGATGCTATTGTTCTCCTCCACTAAATGGTAAAGTCTTTGAAGGCTTATAAATTGCTCTTATTCATTTCTGTATCCCCAGCATCTAGCACAGTGCCCTTTACATGGTACGCATTTAATTCAAAATACACTTATTGTATGTACTGGGATATGCAGATGAACGAAGAGGTTTCTAGCCATGAAGAGCTTATCTAGTGAGAGAACAATAAGCATTAGTTTAACATAAAGCCCAAGTAACAGCACTGGAGCTGTGAAGATGTGGGTTCAGGTGGGCAGGGGTGGTGGCAAGGGGGAGAACATTCGGGTTCAAGGAGCTGCCCAGGTGGAAGCACATGGCATGTAGCCTTGGGACTGGCATATAGGAAGCATGAAGGAAAACAGGAGATAAGGCCAGAGAAGGGGTGTGGGCACTGGATCTTGGAGGGCCTACTGAGCCATTCCAAGGAATTCAGATTTGATTCTGGAGGCCACTGAATGAGGAGTCACTGAATAGTCTTGGGAGGAACGTAAAAAACATTACTGCATGAAGGAAGGACTCAGCACTGTGTCTTGGTTGGACATGATTCTTTGGCCAGATCCACTCCAGGAAAAGCTTATATTGGGTGCTGAGCACCACTCATTCTCTGAGGCCAGCTGGTCCCCTAGTCAAACCATCATCTTGTGAGATTTTGCCTTTTAAAGAGGCCACCCCTAATAAAACACTCGGTCAGGTGGAGAAGCCGGTTCTGCCCACTAAAACAGTGTTTCCTGACCCACTTCATGGGGCCCACCCTCTGCTTTGGCTTTAGCACAGACATTCTTCTGTTTAAACCGTATTAGTCAGGCTTCTGTACTAGTCAGGGTTTTCCAGAGAAATGGAAAATGAGATTTATTATAAAAAATTGGTTCATGTGATTATGGAGGTTGAAAATGGCCACGATCTCCCATCTGCAAGCTGGAGACCCAGGAAAGCCGGTGTATGAATTCCAGCCTGAGAAGCAGGAGCACCAGCGGTTCAAGTTGCAGTCTGAAGGCGGGAGAAGACTGAAGTTCCCGCTCAGCAGACGGGCAGAGATTCCCACTGGCATCCACTCTCTCTCACTGAAAACTGAACTTTCTGAGCCTAGGACTGGCTTGGACCCCCTACAATATTTCTTGACCTTTGCAGAGTCGGGGGGGGGGGGACCGGGGGGAGGGAAGGGATAACATCCTGTAGAGGAAAAAATCAAAGGCTTTAGAGTCAGACAGCACTGGGTTAAAGTGCCAGCTGAAATCACTCATTAGCTTTGTGACCTTGGCAAAGTCACTTCTCTCTCTGAGTCTCGGTTTTCTTGTCTGAAAAATGGGGATAACTGTGCCTACTCCAAAGAATTAAAGTGCAGATGAATATGGGATTGCCTAGCTTGCCGCCTCACACATAGGAGGTGCCCAGTCAACTTATTTTATTCGAATTTGTAGAGTTAAGTCGAGGCTACTGTTCTGCATAAGAAGCGGAAAGGGTGCTTGGAGTGAGCTGTTGTTAGATGCCTTCATTTAGGGGAGTGCGAACTCTCTGCCTCGATTATCTCAGAGGTCAACCCAGAGCCCTCCTGGTGAGGGTTCTTACTTGCCTCCCCAGCCCGACTTCGGCTCCCGGTGCCCTGCCCTCCTCCTGCCAGCTGCTGTGGTCCATTGGCTAGCAGACAGGGGCCCAGCCCTGACTGACTGAGGACAGTGTTGCAAAAACTGAGGAACCACAGACACTGTTGAAAAATGCCCAGCCCTGGGAACCTGGCCCTCAGCCCCTCCAGCTATTACTTTGAGGTGAGAGCCTAGGTTTCTGGGCATCCTAGAGGGATGGGAAAACTGTGAAGACATGTTAGAGAGATGCCCCGCTTTTCTGGAGCTGAGGTTAGAGTTTTCCCTTCAAAACCCACAATTATGGATCCTTCTCAGAGCTGGGTGTTGAGGTGGTGCCCCAGGTGCAGGCAGGTAGACTGATTCACAGGAAGCTTGGGAGACTGGGTGTCAGGTAGGAGAGCAGAGCCGCACACACCTGGAACGCAAGCCGGGTTGAGGATGTGCAGACCAGCGCGGTGGAAGCAGAGAGGAGGGAGGGGTGTGCGTGTCTGGGGTGGGGTGGGAGGGGGACCACAAGAAGATGGTTTAAAGAGGAGATGGAGGAGGAAGGCAGGCCAGGCAAAGGAAGCAGCGTGAGCAAAGGCCCAGAGGTAAAAATAACGTGCTATGTAGAAAACAGAAAAACCGGAGAGTTCTTGGGTGTGGCTGGGACGCGGGGTGCTGGCCGGGGTGGGGCAGTAGGGAGCACAGACAAGAGGGGCTGAGGCCTCGCTGTGGGTTAGCAGACTTGGAAAGCTCAGGAGCAGGGGGAGAAACGGCGTCAAGTTTTGGAGATCACTCGACTTAGGTAAGGAGAACAGACTCAGGCTGTGCTAAGCAATGTCTTTCTTTCAACAGATATTTGTCGAGTGCCTATTACGGGCCAGCAGCTGCTCTGGACTAAGGGAAACAGCGGTGAAGATTCAGATGGTACCTTCCTCGAGAGTAACCTCCACATTTTACGGAAGAGGAAATTGAGGGTCGGCCGGTCTCCGGCTGGTGGCTCTGGCCGGCGTTTCTGTGGCCGGAGACAGCGTGGCTCTGGGCAGCAGTGTAGACGTTCCGGAGCACGTGGGTCTGTTCGCCTGCCCCGGGTCCGCCTGCGCGCGCCGCCGGAGCCTCTCCACTGCCCCGCCCGGCTCGGAGCCCGCCCCCAGCCCGACCCATACGTGGGTTCCCGCACGTCCTCCCAGTTCCCCCCTGACGTCAGCCGCGCGGTTCCATTTAAGGCCCCTCCCGCGCCCCACTCCGAATACCGGAGCAGCTGCCGCCAAGTCCGGATCCACCGCCGCGCGCCGCCGACCCTCGCCTGCCCACCCGACGTGCACTCCTGGTACGGTCGGGCCCGGCGCGCACTGCGCCCGCGCCGGCGGGAGAGAGAGCTGCCCGCGAAGGGGTCCCTGCTCCCGGGGGGGTGTAGGTGCTGCTTCCCAGAGGCACAGTCTGGAGACCTAGGCGGTGGCCCAAGCCACGCGTGGGCTCGGAGCCTGCCGCACCCTGCTTTTACTCTAAGTGGGCACTGTGGCCTCTGGCCGGGCTGGGGAACCGAGGAGGTGGCCTCATCTAACCTGGGGTCAAAAGTCCGGGTGGATGCAGGACAAGATGACAAATCCGAAGGGTGGGGCATACCTCCGGGCTCGAAATCGGCAAAGGGCGGAGAACTCGAGGTCCGGTTCCGGAGCCCATGGAGCTGAAAGAGCTCAGCAGTCTGGGGCGGGTTCCTGGAAGCCGGAAAGCCGCTGAGCGCCGCTCGGGTCGCATTTTAACCCTAGGACTCTCGAGAGGTGGGCTGCACGGGCGCGGCTGCTGCCTGCAGAGTATGAGCGCTCTTTGCGCAAATTAGATTTATTAAGCAGCTACTGATGTATCGGGCGCTACGCTAGGCACGGTGCATGCAAAGATGAAGCGGCGAGGGTCTCAGCCCTCCTCACCTCGGACGGTCTATCATCCGGTACCACTCCCTCGTTTTGAAGAATGGAGGAACCTAAAGCTGGGAGAGGGTTAGGGTATCTCTAAAGTCACAGTGAGTGGGTGGCAGAGTTGGGGAGTAGACCCTCTTTCTGCCGGGCCCCTCCTCCACCCGTGTCCCCACATGGAAGGGAGGGCTGGAGCCCGGGGCTTAGGTTTTGGTGAAGCCAGGAGGTCTCTGCAGGAAGAACTCCTCCCTGCCCCCGGCCAGGCTGCAGAAACCTTACAAGGCTGTCTAGAAATAGCAGAGATTTGTAAGGAGAGACCCGGTTCCAGCATGGGGGCTGTGGGCTGCCTGCCCGGAAGTCCTTTCGGATATTTTTGCCCTTTGGGGCGGTGTCCAGACTTTTGCGGTGGTGCTTTCGGGATACAACCTGTGATCATCTCTCCAGTGAACGCAGCGCACGGTTGGATTCGCAGAGTCGAAGTCCCCCTCCCCGGCTCTGGAAATCGAGGGTCCACCAAGTATGTGTTAAGTTTAGGGCTCCAGGCCTCAGGCCTCTGCAGCTATTTCTACACTTCCTGTACTGACAGAATTTCCTCATACTGGGCCTCATGCCGCTGCAACCAGGATCACAGCAGAATCCACACGAGGCGCCTCCCTGCGGGTTTGTTAACAGTTCCTGGTTTTGCTCCTGAAGTCTGGCTCCGGCTCCGTGCCAGGCCCGCGTGGCTGCCAGCCGGGCTTCACGTTGTTGGCTTCTGCTTCGGAGCACTAAAATCTGAGTCTGAGCCCATGCGCTCTGACCCGGGGAACAGGAGAGTTCCTTATCGTCTCCGCTCTCGGGCGGGGCATCTTAGTTATCGGCGTCGGGGCCACTGCCAACCTCGCAATGGCCAGCAGCTACTAGACTGCTCTGGTGCTAGCCCAACGCTCTGAAATGCGCATGCGCGCGAGTTTCGTGGGCGCGGGGGAGGGAGGGGCGGCTGCCAGGCTGGGTGGAGCGTAAACCCGCCGGCTCCAGCGGACCCAGCTGTCGGTCTGATCTCCGCCCCTTCGGGGGAGGGGGGACCGAGGGAGCGCGCATGAGCAGAGCTCACGCAGGCACCCCCGGCACCACCGGGAAGCGGTTGCTGGCGCTTTCCGCACGAACCTCTCTGGTCCTTCCTTGAGAGGCTTGGCAGGAGGCCTGGTGACGAGTCGAGCTGGGCGTGCGGCTCCCTTGGTCTTGTTTGAGGAAAGGGCAGCCCCGCTTGGGGTTAACTCGCCACGATGAGTGAGCCCTCAGGAGGCTTTACTTATACCCAAACGTCAATATTATTTTTCCACGCCAAGGTGAGGTCCTGCACACCAAGATCCTAGCGAGACCAGAGCCTGGCATTAGGCCTTTCGACTCTCCTTTAGCTATCTTGAGGGTGTTTTCCTCTCCCTTTTTACTCATCCCTTGTGATTTTTAGTGGCAAGTACCCAGAAAGAAGTAACAGCTTTGGTTAATAAACGTTCATTTAAAGGGGATGCAGTGACAGTGCCTGTTTCTCTCCCTCTAGATTCCTTCTGGTTCTAAGTCCAAAATGGCAACTGTCAAGGATCAGCTGATTCAGAATCTTCTTAAGGAAGAACATGTCCCCCAGAATAAGATTACAGTTGTTGGGGTTGGTGCTGTTGGTATGGCCTGTGCCATCAGTATCTTAATGAAGGTAAGTGAGAGCCCATCGCTCTGGAAGCCAAGGATACCTTGACCCCACCCATCGCCCCACTCCCTTCCCCAAGAACTGTAACACATTGTATACACAAATATTTAGTTTATGCGCTCATTCAAAGAACTTTATGTGAAACAAACTTTTGAAACATGATGCTATAGTGAAAGAGTATCTGAACTAAAAGAAGAAAATGTCATTAGACTGGAGACGCAGTTCCTTAAATTCACTGTGCTGTATTAACATACATTAATTGCCTGCAAATGAAAAAGAAGAGTCCATGCCTTTAACCAGCTAAAATTATTTTAAGGTAATTTTTGAATTGAAAATGATACATACATATGCTAAAATTAAAATCACACTGAATGGAAAATCTTCAAATCTTGCTCTCATGCAAATCCCTACTGCCCCCACCCCTTGGATAGCAATTTTGGTACAAATTATGGAGGTAAAACTTAATTAGAAAAAGAACTTGTGAATGAATACAGAAAACTTTTTACAGTAGTCAAGCCTGGTTTATATAAAAAAGAAATCGAGGCTGCTTACAATATTAAAATATTTGAAATTCAGATTTGGAATTCCTAATAGAAGTGAAATGGTGAATTCTGGGTTCTGAACAGAAAAGGTTTGAAGTGAGAAGACTGAAGACAGAAATGAGCTATGCAGAGGTCTTAGAACAACACAGGTTGCTCTCTATGTGCTGTTAGGAGAGCCCACAGGGTTTACCTACTCTTACCCCTTACCCATTCGATCAGAGATGGATGCCACCTGTTTTTTCCACACCTGTGAACCACTTATGATCTTCTCCTGTGATGCCCTTTAACTCGTGTGGATAAGAGTAACTGCCAGATCACTCATTATACTGTAGATGATTGAAGGTAGATCTGCATCTCAGCTAGTGTAACCTCTGCTTTAACGGTATGCATCCCGTTTGTATTAAAGCTATTGTTGGTGCTCCTGGTCTGAGATGCCTTTATGAACTTTTATAGCTTCAACTGATATCTTTCACCAATAGTTTGCAACGCATAGATCTATCTTTATGTAAAACTGTTAGTGTTCGTTAGTATATGGAAAACGTAAATGGGAATGATCCAGAATATCACTTTTTTTTGTTTGTTTTGAGGAAGATTAGCCCTGAGCTAACATCTGCTGCCAATCCTCCTGTTTTTGCTGAGGAAGACTGGCCCTGAGCTAACATCCGTGCTCATCTTCCTCCACTTTATATGTGGGATGCCTGCCACAGCATGGCTTGCCAAGTGGTGCCATGTCCGCACCCGGGATCTGAACCGATGAACCCCCGGCCACGGAAGCGGAATGTGCGCAGTTAACTGCTGCACCACCAGCCCACCCCCGGAATATCACTTTTTAATTCCAAGTCTTAATACTGATGAATATCACCTATGTAATGAATAACAACCTAAAGTCAATGTGTAAAACTGAATTTGAGAGTAAATAGAGCAGTTTTACATAATTGGATGTTATTCTAACCCCTGCCAATCTGGTGTTCTGCCTCTATGCGGTGGTGGTGGTGGAGTTTCCGCAGAGGTTGCTCCAGTGGGGAGAGAGGGTTGGAGAAAGGGTCAGTATTTCTTCCTATGTGTTAGTCAGCTTTTAAATGGAGTCCTGTCTCTACTTTGAGGTATGCCCTGATACTCATAAAGTAGCAGAACTCTCCTATGCCAGAAGTATAGAAATTTTGCATGCCCTTCTAAAAATTTGGAAGTAGCAATTTTCCATTTAATTAAAAATTTTATGTCTTTTAGGACTTGGCTGATGAACTTGCTCTTGTGGATGTCATTGAAGACAAATTGAAGGGAGAGATGATGGATCTCCAACATGGCAGCCTTTTCCTTAGAACACCAAAAATTGTCTCTGGCAAAGGTTGATTTCAACAAGTTTATATTGTGGTCCATGCTAGGCTTAATTCTTACCAGGCTTGAATTCCTAGCTCTTCAAAGATTTCTTTTTTATACAGGATAAGAGGGCCTTTGAATAATTTTGCGTTGGTACCTATTGATACCAAAGTTTCAATTTCTAGTAAGTGGTTTGAAAAGGAAATCCAATTTGTCTATGATGTGGAAAGCATCTGAATTAGAAAGTAGTTAGTAAAGCTCCTTAGGTCCATATTTAACCACACTGCTTCAAATATTTAAATTAAATATACTTACCTCCCCCACTTCCCTTCACACACTGACGCAGGGTTAAGAATAGGGTAAATGAGCCCCTTCAGCAGATATTCTTGGCTTGACCTTTTCACATTTATGGGCACCAGCCAGGAAACCTGGACATGGGCCCAAATGGTGTTTGTTTAGACACTTGAAAATCATCGACAACTTAGCTAGTAGGTGGCTCCCTTCCTTGTCCTCATCCCTGGGTTAACCATCCTGTGCCACAGGGTAACTAGAAGCAAAACATGCTTAATAAGTATAAAGTTGCCTCTGCTTTGAGAAAAAACCAAACAAACAAAAGGCCTGTCCCTGGGCTGATATGACAAATAGTTAAGTAGAAATAGGAGTGTGCAAGAGTGTAAGCACTGAGCTCAGGTGGCAAAAAATTGGGGGCTATATCTCATTTGATTCTTTCCAGTGCCTCCCAATTTTAGTTACATAAAGTCACAAGGTGACTAAAACCAGAATATAAGGAGGGTGTTGACATACTCTTCCTCCATGTAAGTGGCCACAGTGATAAAACTCCAAAAACTAAAGGAGGAGTCTGGGGGTCATTGGGGGAATTCATCTGCCACCTACACAAAACACTGATGAAACTATCCATTAAAAAAAGTTTATGGAACAAATTTTTGCTGGCTGGGTAATGGAGTTCTCTTAAAGGCCTAAATCTGCTTCTTGTTTCCCTTCTGTCTAGACTATAGTGTGACTGCACACTCCAAGCTGGTTATCATCACAGCTGGGGCACGTCAGCAGGAGGGAGAAAGCCGTCTTAATTTGGTCCAGCGTAACGTGAACATCTTTAAATTCATCATTCCTAATGTTGTAAAATACAGTCCAAACTGCAAGTTGCTTGTTGTTTCCAATCCAGGTGAGACTTTTAATTGCATAAGTAGCTGAGCTGGAGTAAAACTGACGGTTTATGTCATATTCTGTATACACATATCTATTGCTCCTATTTTTCATTTTTCTCCTGAAGTTGGATTTGTGTTTTTGTAAAATAGTTAAGTTTAAAACATAAAAGGGGATACAATGCCTCTGAATGGAGTTGGAACTTTAAAATTAGTTACTTGCCCAAGAAGATCTCGGATAAGGGATAAGTTTATGAATAATGTGTTATTGATGCACAGTTTATTGTCATTCAGCTACACTTCTTGAATACTTAATATATTCGCTGTATTATACCATAGTTTACAGGTTTAAAAATATTAACAAACATATCGATTTGTCATGATCAATATCAAGATCCATACAGAGCCATGTATCTTGAGTAACCAATCAGTATCTAATGATTTACCTACTGTCTTTGCCTAAATGTTTTATTCATAGTGGATATCTTGACCTATGTGGCTTGGAAGATAAGCGGCTTTCCCAAAAACCGTGTTATCGGAAGTGGTTGCAACCTGGATTCAGCCCGGTTCCGTTACCTAATGGGAGAAAGGCTGGGAGTTCACCCATTAAGCTGTCATGGGTGGATCCTTGGGGAGCATGGAGATTCTAGTGGTAAGCATGACTTGTTTTCTCTTTTTGTTTTCAAAAAGATTGTGTAAAATATTGACAGGAGGGCCCACCCAGTGGGGTAGTGGTTAAGTTTGCGTGCTCCGCTTGGATGGCCTGGGGTTCACAGGTTTGGATCCTGGGCACAGACCTAGACACTGCTCATCAGGCCATGCTGTGGTGGCATCCCACGTACAAAATAGAGAAAGATTGGCAAAGATATTAGCTCAGGGACAATCTTCCTCACCAAAAACACCCAAAAAAATATTGACAGGAGTTTCAGTATTAAATCAGAGCAAAAATCAGATATCCATTCATCAGAGTAGTATGGATCCCAGAAATCTATCTTTTGGTATAATTATGTGCTAAGAATTGTTGAGATTTTAGCCATTTTGTATGACATTTTATGGCATGGGGGATGGGGAACGAAATTTCTTTTGCTTCTTACAATGGACATAATAAATAAGATGATAGTTCTTAGGATGACCTCAGTCATTTAATATCACAGCTGTTTATATTTGACTTGAACTGCTTGGCCCTGAAAAAATCAGCCAATCCAAATAGAGTGTATCAAAAAAATTCTATTATTATCACAACTGAAAGATTTTTTTTTTTGTGAGGAAGATTAGCTCTGAGCTAACTACTGCCAATCCTCCTCTTTTTGCTGAGGAAGACTGGCCCTGAGCTAACATCCATGCCCATCTTCCTCTGCTTTATACATGGGATGCCTACCACAGCATGGCTTTTGCCAAGTGGTGTTATGTCCACACCTGGGATCCGAACTGGTGAACCCCGGGCCACCGAGAAGCAGAACGTGTGAACTTAACTGCTATGCCACTGGGCCAGCCCCACAACTGAAAGATTGGATAATTTGTGCAGAGTTCTCAGTTCCTTATGCCAAGAAAATTCTCCTTATGATCTCATACTGTCTTTATATTTCAAATTTATATGGATTAAATATCCCAATAGGTTAAGAAAACAGGTTTGAATATAGTGAAACTTGTTAGTTTTATATAATCTAATCAACGAAAATCTAGAAGTAAGGGCATTCGTAGTCTTTACCATCTACCAAAAGGGGGTAATCCTCCCCAGATAAGAAAAGAGACTTAGAAAAATGGGTCAGAATTACTGGTCTGCTGGGTGGTACATAGAAGTAAGTATATCCTGTACTATTTCTTTTAGTGCCTGTCTGGAGTGGAGTGAACGTGGCTGGTGTCTCCCTGAAGAATCTGCACCCTGAGTTAGGCACTGATGCAGATAAGGAACACTGGAAGGAGGTTCACAAACAGGTGGTTGACAGGTAATAGATCTCATAATTTGGCAATGTGGAAGGTTAAAATTTATTATTTTTTAAAAAAGTTTAATATCATTTGCATTTGAGTACTTTTTGTCAGAGAACTTGTTTTCTGAAGTTTTGGTAAAGATCATACTATAAAACAGATGTAAAGGTATTAAAAATTATAGACATGTATTTGTGCTACAGCCTATCTTTTTTTGCCATAGTTCTCCATTTATAGTATGATAAATCTTTCTGTGCTCGTATTGCAAACTATTAAGATAAAACAAGTTAGATTAAGCCTACCCGATTTGAGATGCCGTCTTTACTTCCACAGCATGTGGGATTCATTCTAGGAATAAGAATTTTTAAATCCAAGTTCCTATTATCGTCTTTATGAATAGAAACACAGCTGCTTCGTGTTTATTCAGATGGTTATAAAGTTTAAGCAATGTCTAGACTCGTAACGGTGCTAAAAATGTAAATTAGTATTAACTGCTAGAAATTGTTGAAACAAGCCAGCTTTCAACTTGGTGGAATTATTTACTTATTATAAGTCATGTGGTCGTGTGTGGACCTCAGGTCTATAGAATTGAATGATGAATCCTGATTGGTCTAGGCAAAGCCCTCTTGTTTGTATTTGTTTAATTAAATAAAAATCTGTGAACCCACCCTGCAACCCAAGAAACATTGCCAATAGCTGTCTACTAACTGCAGTGTTTGTTGGGTTGGAGTTACTAGTCTGTTGGTGCTTGGGGATGAGTGAGTTCTTTGCTCCTTCTCCCACTCTTTCCTCTGTCCCCCTACCCTCTCCCTGCTTGAAATAATCCTGAGTCAAGCATGCTAAATGTAATCTTCTTGGATTTGCTTTTTAAAGTTCAATATTTTACATTTTAAATACATTTTAAAGAATCATCTCTTTTGTTGCATGTAGCTATAATTGTTTGTTTTGGCAGCTGTGTAATATTTCACTGTATGGGATGTATTCACTGTATGTGAAGATACCACAATTTCTCCATTCCCCTGTTGGAGAGCACTGGGCTTGTTGCCAGGTTTTTGCTATTCCTAACGGTACTGTTCTGAACATCCCTATATATAATGTCCTGGTTTACCTGGCAAGGGTTACTCTTAGGTGTATATATAATGCAACTTTGTGGCATTGTTTACTATACAGCGTGTGTTCAGTGAAAGCTTTGTTTTTCTCTGTTTCTCCCACCCTATTTTTTCATACCTTCCCCTGCTCTTCCCTACCCTACAGTGCTTATGAGGTGATCAAACTGAAAGGCTACACATCCTGGGCCATTGGACTGTCTGTGGCAGATTTGGCAGAAAGTATAATGAAGAATCTTAGGCGAGTGCATCCAATTTCCACCATGATTAAGGTGGGTCTATGTACTGATACATTTCACTTGAATGCTATTATTTCCTGTTCTTTAAAAAAGATTCTTCTGAGAAAGCAATTAGATTAATGTAAGTCCTCAATTATTGATTTAAGTCAAATAAATTAACACACCTGCAACTTTCTTTTTCGAAAAGACTTGGTGGGGCGTTAGGATCAATGCCCACTAGCACTGTGTTCAGCACATAGCTACTTGATAACTTCTTGACTGAAAAACTCTTCAATCATGCTGAGATAGGTGGAAGACAATCAAAGAAACAGATCTCCTTTGGGAAAAACAGAAATCACACTCAAGTTAGAGTCACCAAAGGGTTAGACAATAAAAATTGGAAAGTGCTATGAATAATAGCAGTGGTTTGGATTTTCTTTTAGAATGGAAATCTTGCTGCTCTTTTAACGACTTCCTTTTACATGTTTATTACCTCCTAACTGGAAACGTGGAAAGGAATTTCTACTTACTAAGTTGTATTAAATAAGCCTGACACTTGTAGAGAATGCAAGTCTTGGGAGACCCCAGAATTCATAGACAAAACGTAAAATGTTTTCCATTTTGTCTGCAGGGTCTCTATGGAATAAAAGAAGACGTCTTCCTTAGTGTGCCGTGCATCCTGGGACAGAATGGAATCTCAGATGTTGTGAAGGTGACTCTGACTCCCGAGGAAGAGGCCCGTTTGAAGAAGAGCGCAGATACGCTTTGGGGGATCCAAAAAGAGCTGCAGTTTTAAAGTCTTCTAATGTACCACTTCACTGTCTAGGCTGCAAGAGGATTTTAGTTGGAGGTTGTGCACATTGTCCTTTTTATGTGACCTGTGACAGAAGCAGTAATGTTAAGATAACCTAGGAGCAACATCAGTTTCCTAAAGTTAGGCGTAAGAGTGGCTCTTAAAACCCTGCAGCTATATCCTGATGCTGATTGATAGTTACCTTGTGTAGTCCTAAACTGGCTGGTGTAAAATAGTTCTGCCACTTCGGAGGCATGACTGCCAGTGTTGCACAGGCTGCAGTTGCCCTTCAAACCAGATGCGTGTTTACTCTGTGTGATGTAACTTCTGGTTCCTTCACCCAACATGCCTAGTCCAACTTCTTTTTCTTCAGTCAGTCACATCTTGAGATGCAATGTATAAATCCAGTATTGCATGTCTTGTGCATAACTGTTCTAGAAGGTCTTATCTTGTGTACCACATGTATCAGAATAGTGTATATTGCCATGTAATGTAAAAAAAAATCTGCATATAAATAATGCAAACAATTATTCAAGTGTCATGCCAACTAAAACACCAAATAAACCTTGAACGGTGACTGCTCTGTTATTTTATTAAGATGTAAAGTCATAAAGCTATTACATATTCATTACATTATTGGGAGTCCTTAGGTTATTCTTGGGCAACCCTGCAATGATTTTTTAAGGGGTACTACTTACTAATGATCAGACTTTAGTTTAATATGAATTAGTATATTAAGGGTGTGACTAGGTTGAGTAGGTTGTTTTGGTAACAGTTCCGTTACAATCCATCATTTTAATATACAGTCATGCACTGCATAATGATGTTTTGGTCAATGACAGACCTTGTATATGATGGTGGTCCCGTAAGATTAATACTATATAGCCTAGGTGTGTAGTAGGCTATACCATCTAAGTTTGTGTAAGTACTGTAGGGAAGGAAGAAATTTTCCTCTACCCTCTAGGTTCTTCTGGCTGTTCTAAGAATTAATTTGACATGAGATAGATTAACAGGAGAAAAACAAATAGTTTAATAACTTGTATATATGGGAGTAACCCAGGAAAACCAAGTAACTCACCAAAATGGCCAAAGCTCTCACTTTAAATACCATCCTCAGCTAAAGACAAAAGACGTTGGGGGTGGGGAAGAGTCAGGACTTCAAAGAAAAGGAAGCCAGCTCACGGGTAGGCAAAAGGCAAATGTTTGGAAAACAAGTGTTTGGCCATTGCAGAAACAAGAACACAGGGAAGTCCAACCATAGGCTCTTCTAGCTTCCCCTCTGTCTACCACCTGGTTCATGTTACACTAAGGTGATATCTCGCTTCCTGAGACAGGATTTTTTATCTGAATTCTTTGAGGCAGTCAAGGGGGAGGTAACAAAAACTGAAATTTCAGTCTCTTGTTTCTTACAAATAATCAGCTTAACATAGTCCTCACGTTAAAGAGAGACATTTTAGGGTGGCAAATTTTGTTCCCCTTCTGTACACTGATGTTTGCACGATGAAATCACCTAACAAAGCACTTCTCAGAATGTATCCTGTCATTAAGTGATGTTTGTACTAAGCCCCACGGTATTACATAAGTTCATAGTAGTACTGATCATAATTGGTACCTTACAATTCACGTAGGTAACTTTCTATACACGAACATAAAAGACATTATTTGCCAACTGAACAGAAGCAGTGGTACTTTGCTGCTATAGGGGACACAGATGTTTAGGAACCTTTGCTCTCCGGAGGCCAGGAACAGTGGTACTTAACAATTTTAACCTAAATAGTCGTGGTGCTTGTCTACTCAAAAATTTTCTTTAGATTTCCCTCAAAGTATTTCCATAACTATGACCCTCATCCAGGCCTGGAAAATGTACTTGTAGAGGTTAACTAGAACAACTTTACTGTCATCACTCCTCCAGCATCTTTCCCCAAAGTTTCCTTCCCTGAGAATTAGTTAAAGGAAAGAGTTAGGGGGCCGGCCACATAGCCGAGTGGTTAAGTCCGTCAATCTGCTTCGGCGGCCTAGGGTTTTGCTGGTTCGGATCCTGGGCACGGACATGGCACTGCCCATCGGGCCATGCTGAGGAGGCATCCCACATGCCACAATTGGAAAGACCCACAACTAAAACTACACAACTATGTACTGGGGGGCTTTGGGGAGAAAAAGGAAAAATAAAATCTTTAAAAAAAAAAAGAATTATACTTTAAAATGTCTCTGGGGCTGGCCTGGTGGCATAGCGGTTAAGTTTGCACACTCTACTTCAGCAACCCAGGGTTTGCTGGTTGGATTCTGGGCGCAGACCTACACACTGCTCATCAAGCCATGCTGAGGCAGTGTCCCACATACAAAATAGAGGAAGATTGGCACAGATGTTAGCTGAGGGAGGACTGGCAACAGATGTTAGCTCAGGGCCAATCTTCCTCACCAACACCAACAAAAAAGTGTCTCAAATGTAAAAGGACAAGACTGATATACATAGTCTTGACAATTAACTATTATAATAGCATTTGCCTTCTTGTAGGCTTTTTTTAAAAAAATAAAATAACATCCTTAAGATATAATTTACATGCTATAAAAATCACCCTTTTAAAGTGTACAATTCTGTAGATTCACATAGTTGTGTAAGCTTCACCACTATCTTAGAACTTTTTAATTACCCCAAAAAGAAATGTGTACTTATTCCTATAACCTTTTGGAAACTTTGAGGCACCCTCAGTCTTTTTTAAAAACGTATTTACATTAACTTCATATTATTTGATACAATAAATTAGTCAATACCAACATGACAGAAAATGCTTAAGATTTGTTAAACTAATCTTTCATGTATTTTCACATTTAATCTTGTAACACTTCCTTACTTTCTGACACAATAAGTGTTCCAGGTTCACCTTGTACCTTCCTAAACCCAGGCAAGGAATAAGCCAACTCTGCAAGAAACCCTGATTGTTTTCTTTCTTTCTTTCTTTTTTTAAAGATTTTATTTTTCCTTTTTCTCCCCAAAGCCCCCTGGTACATAGTCGTATATTTTTAGTTGTGGGTCTTTCCAGTTGTGGCATGTGGGATGCTGCCTCAGCATGGCTTGATGAGTGGTGCCATGTCCATGCCCAGGATCCGAACTGGCGAAACCCTGGGCCGCAGAAGTGGAGTGCACGAACTTAACCACTCGGCCACAGGGCTGGCCCCACCCTGATTGTTTTCAATGGAATATGATCCCATTTTAATCTTAATAACCTTGGGATGTGGATTAAGCAGCCCCATCTCACACAAGCTGGCAGCTAGTGGGGGAAGCAAACAGGATGTTCAGAACATGGTCCTCCTTCCACATGTAAGAATAATCTATGTCTATCTATATATACCTGTGTAGATAGATATATTTTTTTCCACTAAAGTCCATGTTGCCAAAATAAAACTATCAGGACTTCAAAGCCATATTCTTTCAAAATTCTTTACTGAGTGCCTACTACACTTTGGTAATATTGGAATATACAAGACAAATCTTGGCTATCCTATATTTACATCACTGCAATCAAGCAAAATGGTAAGTTAGCTTAGATCCCAGCCATCCAGAGGGCCAACTCAGGCAGAGGAGACCTCAAGTGCCTGCCAATGCCTCTGTGCCTTGGGCAGGTATGAATGAAGAGCCTCTTTCTTTATCTAGAGCAGAGGTTTCCTCACTACCAAAAGAACACCTCCTTCGACCATGGGAGGCCTGAGGCAGGGGGGAAATTTGAATTTTGAGATCATCCTGGCCAGTGGCATCTCCTTCTTAGCCCGTGGTAAATGAGGTGCAAGGGCAGGGAGTTGCTGTGGAAAGAAGCACACCAGCAAGGGGAGTACAGGACCAACAGCCGCTGCCACTCCTGTCTGCTGTAGGGAGCCTCCTGCTTGGGGCTGGTAGTACGTTGTACAAAATGCCATAAACAGAAGATGTAGGGAGGTGGTGGGAGTTGACACATTGATCAAGGAAAGCTAGAGGAAGTGCCATTTAGGCTCACAACTGAACCCAAGAAATCAACTTTGAGAAGAGCTGGGGAAGAACCTTGCAGATATAGGGAAGAGCAGAAAGTTCTGAGCCAAGCAAAAGCTGTCCAAAAGCTGAGGAGAGTGTGGTGAGAATGTCTCGAGATCAAGCTGAGCCGGCAGAGGAAGGCCAAATCTTGAACGTTTTTTAGGTTGTGGTAAAAACTGGTTATTCTAAGTGTAACGGAAAGCCACTGAAGGGTTTTAAGAAGTTATTGCACGATCTGAACTACGATAAAAACAAACCATAGGCTTTGATACAGAAAATGAATTATCCTTTTTTTTTTTTAGATTGGCATCTGAGCTAGCAACTGTTGCCAATCTTTGTTTTTTTTCTGCTTTTTCTCCCTCAATCTCCCCAGTAGATAGTTGTAGGTCCTCCTAGTAGTGGCATGTGGGATGCCTCAGCATGGCCTGCTGAGCAGTGCCATGTCTGCACCCAGGATGTAAATGCGGGAAACTCGGGGCCACCAAAGCGGAGCCCACAAACTTAACCACTCCGCCATGGGGCGACCCTGGATTATCCTTTAGATTTTGAAAAGGATTCAAATGCAGATGATGAAAAAGGTTGACAGAAGAGGTTGTGGCCCTTTCTGTGAGCTATAAATAAGTCCTTGGCATAAATTAAAATCACCCTTAGAAAACTAGACGAGGCCTTTCCTTCTCACTACTACTGTCTGTTCTCTCAAGAGAAATTCCAACTTTATTTCAGCACTTGGTCCTGAAATTACAAATCTTAACAATAATTTTTTAAATCCTGCAAAGAGATGCTGGACAAGGGCTTGGTGAGTGCATCAAAAAGTCTATTCTTCAAACTCAGACTGATCCTTCCCAAGCCCACTCTTTACTTAAATCCCTTTCCATCCTTGGGGCCCAGGTCCCTTCAGCACATCCTCCCAGGAAGAGCGGCTTAGTGGGTTCAGGCTTTGAGCTCCGCCAACGCATCCCCAAGCCAGATGCGCATCTTCGACCTCGCCTGGGCCAGTGCATGCTCCGGGATCTGGAAGCAGTCTCCCCAGGACGCCGCTGAAGCTCCCTCGGCGGGCACAGGAGGCGCTGTCTAGGGCGCTCCTTCCCATGGGCGCCTCGAGCCTGGCCCCTGCCAGCCGGGTGGTAGTGGAGTCTCCAAAAAGACTGCCCTAAAATCAGCCCAGGCCGAGGCCGGCTGAAGGAAATGAAATGACGCTCCAACATCCCTCTCCTGTACACTCTTCACAACCGTCTACCACGCTGCACCCGGACATTCTAACCACGCAACCGCAGGCACCCACAGAACAACACCCTCGACGAGGCCATCGAGCTCCCGCCAATGCGCCTGCGCTGCGGCCGGCCGGGGGCGGAGTTTGCGTGCTGACGTAGGAGAGCTGTGCGTGGGAGCGCGCTTGCGTGCGGTGCTGAGAGTAACCGTCGCTGGGCTTCGCACCTTGGCTGCGGTTGCAGCTTTTTTGTGGTGTCGGTTTCTCCTTTGATCTCACTTAAAGGCGGTGCGCTGCGCTTTCGGGCCGTCTGTGCTGAGTTGCGCCAAGTGAAGCGTTTGTGAGCGCCTGGTACTGGGGTGGAAATGGTGGCTGCGGGCAGGGAGAGATGAGAAGGCCCATAGGTGCCTCAAGCCCTCCCAGTGATGGGTAGGCAGGTGCTGGCTCCACCTGCTCACGCCCCTGGACCGGGAAGTGCAGTCTTTAGCGCCTCCCACCCCTGGCTCCAACATCCTGCAGACTCAAGCCGTAGTTCTTTAAATGTTGGGTGTAGTTAGTACATCCGTGGCTGTGAGAGTGATTAATTGAGGGAGTGTGATTCCGCTGAAATTGCATTATCCCTCTCAGGCTCTCAAAATGTCAACTATCAAGGAGCAGCTTATTGAGAATCTGATTGAGGAAGACAAAGTCTCCCAGAGTAAGATCACCATTATTGGGACTGGTGCTGTAGGCATGGCTTGTGCTATTTGTATCTTACTGAAGGTAAGTGATCAGCCTGTCCTGTGGCTGAAAATCATGTAAGCACCTTTAGGTCTTGTAGATGTTGCTGAGTTCAGGGTTGCAGGGCTAATCCCTTGACAGCAAAATATATGTCCTCTCGTTTGATTTTGACATAATTTAAGAAATATTTATTTGGAGTTTAGCATGCGTCAGACATTGCTAGACTAAGTTTATTCATAGGACACGTTGATTGCATTATTTTGTTAGTATTATAATATTTCCTGTTGAAACAATTTGTTACCTTGTCCTCCTCAAAGAGTCGTGGGTGAAAATCATATTTCCCAATGGCTTATACTTAAAATTTAAAAAAATTGTATAAGCATTATATGCTGATTGTAAAACAAAAAGGACCAAATTTGGTAAAATAACAATGGAAGTCCTTTAATTTTCCCATTTCCAGAGCATCTTTTCCTGTGCTTGTTGGTCATTTGTATATCTTCTTTGGAGAAATGTCTATTCAAATCCCTCGGCTACTTTTATTTTATTTATTTATTTATTTATTTATGAAGATTATCCTTGAGCTAACATCCTCTGCCAATCCTCCCTCTTTTTGCTGAGGAAGATTGGCCCCGAGCTAACATCTGTGCCCATCTTCCTCTATTTTATATGTGGGAACCAACCACAGCATGGCTTGATTAGTGGTGTGTAGGTCCCTGCCTGGAATCTGGGCCAGTGAACCCTGGGCCACCAAAGCAGGGCATGTGAATTAACTGCTGCACCACTGGGCTGGCCCCAAATCCCTTGCCTATTTTTATTTATTTATTTGTTTTTTAAAGATTTTATTTTTCCTTTTTCCAAAGCCCCCCAGTACATAATTGTATATTTTTAGTTGTCGGTCCTTCTAGTTATGGCATGTGTGACTCCACTTCAGCTTGGCCTGATGAGCAGTGCTATGTCCACACCCAGGATCTGAACCAGTGAAACCCTGGGCCGCTGAAGCGGAGAATGAGAAGTTAACTACTCGGCCACAGGGCTGGCCCCATCTTGCCTATTTTTAAATTGGGTTATTTGTTGTTACTGAATTGTAGTTCTTTTTATATTCTAGATATTAACCACTTATCAGATGTATGATTTTCAAATATTTTATCCCATTCCATGGATTTCCTTTTCACTCTGTTGATTGTGTCCTCTGATGCACTGAAAGTTTTGATTTTAATGTAGTTCAGTTTATTTGTTTTTACTTTTGTGACCTGTGCTTTTGTTGTGCTATCCAAAAATTATTGCCAAATTCAATGTCATGAATCTTTTCCTCTAATAATTTTATAGTTTCTTCTAATAATTTTATAGTTTCTTCAAATAATTTTATAGTTTAGATCTTACATTTAGTTCTTTGATCCATTTTGAGTTAACTTTATATATAGTGTAAAGTAAATGGTCCAACTTCATTCTTTTGTGTGTAAATATCCAGTTATCCCAGCACCATTTGTTGAAAAGACTTGTCTTTTTCCTCACTGAATGGTCTTGGCACCGTTGTCAAAAATCATTTGACTGTATATGTGAGAGTGTATTTCTGAACTCTCTCTATTCTATTCCATTGGTCTATACATCCGTCTTTAAGCCAATACCATGCTATTTTGATCACTGTAGTTTTAGAATAAGTTTTGGAATCAGGAGGCGTGAGACCCCGAACTTTGTTCTTTTTCAAGATTGTTTTGGTTATTTGGAGTCCCTTGAGATTCCATGTGGACTTTAGAATGAACTTTTCTATTTCTCTTTAAATGCCTTTGGGATTTTGATAGGGGTTGCATTAAATCCATAGATGGCTTTGTGTAGTGTTGACATCTTAGCAATATTAAGTCTTCGAATCCGTGAACATGGGATGCCTTTCCATTTATTTGTGTCTTTAATTTGTTTCAACATTTTGTAGTTTTCAGTATACAAGTCTTTTGCCTCTCTAAATGTTTTAAGGGTATTATGTAATCTTTATAACAACCTTAGGAGGTAGGTACTGTTATCATCTCCATTTATAAATGAGAATACGAAAGCACAGATGTTAAATAACTTGCCCATGGTTAAATGGCTACTAGGTAAGGGGACCAGAATTCCAACTGTGGCATTCTGGTCCTGTGCTCTTAAAAGCTTTACTATATTATTTAGACAATTTTTGGAAACCTGCAGAGGGAGATGACAAGAAGAAGAAAAGCCAGTTAAATTCCAGAATCCCAGAAAGGCTCAGGCGTTGGAAGTACCAGTTGCCTTAAAAGATGGAGGTGAGGGATAGGGCTAAAAACAGGAGGATTGATTGAAAGTTTATATGATGAGAAGGAAAACCACCAGATTCTCTTCTGCACCTTAATCAACCAGGCAACCACCTCTCACGTTCCAGCGGGCAAGGGGAACGATGTTACTCTTTGGAGAAATTGAATCGAACAGGCTTTGCACTCAAGGCATCAAGGACAGTAGAGAACGGGCATCTTATTGAAAGCAGTAGGATTAGTTGAAAGTATACATGTTGGACACTGAGGCAAGAACCCTCTTATTCCTTCGGGGTCTCCAGTTTCTTTTGGAACTCCCAGCATTGGCCTCATCTTGCCCCTTCAGTGGCATCGGCAGCAGCCAGGTTTTGCCTCCTCCAGAGGTCTGAGCTTAGCTCCATGAAGCACCTCCTTTAGTCTCTCTCTTTGTTCCCTCAGGTTTAGGAGTATTAACTTCAAGCTGTGGTTACTATCTCTGGGTTGCCTGAAATGTTCCTCTTTTGCTCTTTCAGCCTTCCAACATCTGTCTAACCAGTCACCATATTAAATCCCTCTGTTGAAATGCTTAGAGTTGTTTCTGTCCTGTCCAGAGCCAGACAGGTACACAGACTGATGTAAAAGTGGATTGGTAAACGTGATCTGGTTTTTTTAACAGCTGAGACGTGATATGTGATCCTTCTGGATGGAACTCCTTATCCTCCTCCTGTTCCTGATATATAACATAGAATTTAGTAAATTTAGGAATATAAAGTCTTCCTGAAAGGCCTGATGGTGCCTGGTTTGAGAAAAATCAGTAGTAAATAGGGGCTTTGACCCTTTTCCCTTACTGCTCACCCTTGGAATCTGGCCACTGGAATCTGAGGGAATGCACTCCTTCTGTGTAGTTCTATATTCTGTTTCATGTGATGAAAAACCAATTCAAATTAGAGTATGCAAAAAAGAGACTGTATATTGTTCATGTAACTGGAAAACCTAAGGGTAAAGCTAGCTTCAGATACTACCAGATTCTGGAATTCAGACATGTCAAGACACAGTCTCTGCATATCTTGGTTTATATTTCCTCTATTGGCTTAATTCTCAGGCAGAGTCTTTCTATGTGGTGGTAAAGGTGGCTATACAGTTTGCTCTTAGAGTCTTATGTCATTCTTAGAGCTTATGATTCCAAATAAAAATAAGACAATTTCCCATCTTCCATTTTCAAACCTCACAGATATTGTGCTCATTTCTTATGCCTGAGCCACATGCCCATTTGTGAACTAATTGCTGTGGCCAGAAGGAAGGATGGAACAAATTGGTTGAGTCTGGTTATATGCCCATCTACCCCTAGGGTGGAGAACCAGTGTTAATTGTACTGTACTGAACCATATGGAATGGGTTTCTGCAGGTGACTCCCTTTCTGTTTTGTCCATAAGGGTGCATACTAAACACAACTTCAGCCAATTCAAAATTAGGCATAAGGGTTAAATATAGTAAAATCCTTTGAAAGAATTTCATAACTTTTTATTGGTTTTAAACTGTTATCTGAAGTGGAAAAAACCCAATTCTAAAAAATTTAGCAATCATGTGAAGGCAAAGCAATAGTTTTTGCTACACGCTGTTGTTTACCTTGACTTCTGGTCACTCCAGGTGCATCAAAAACTACTATTTTTATATCATTTTTTCTATTAAAAATATAACTCTCCTTTGATTATAAACTAGCCACACAAAAATTTTTCTCATTCTCCTAAAACCGAAATAATATTTTTTAGAACATTTTATTCAGAACTTTCATGTATTTTAGGATCTGGCTGATGAACTTGCCCTTGTTGATGTTGCGGTGGACAAGCTGAAGGGAGAGATGATGGATCTTCAGCATGGCAGTCTGTTCTTCAATACTCCAAAGATTATCTCTGGAAAAGGTGAATTTTAGTTTTATAAAGTTATTTTCAGAGCTTCTAAAAAAAGTAATGAATTTTACCAAACAGATGTTCTTAAATGTAAAATTAAAAATAGCACCACCGTCATTAGAACATGTAGTTTAAAAGGTTAATTTTTTAAAGAACATTTCATTCTAATTGGAGGAAATTTGGTAAATATAAAAATGTATAAAGAAAATTTTAAATCTTTTCTGTTAGTGGTTTTGTGTATTTCTTTTTCTATTCATTTATTTTTTTATGTAACTGACATTATATAAATGCTTTTTAAACTTGTCATTCTGTCATATATTTTCCCAAGGATATGCAGTCTTGAATAGTTTTTGTAATATTGTTGATATATTTACCTGTACTCTTTAACCTGGTTTTCTTTTTGTGTTTGTAAGGACCCAGTTTCAAGTGTGAGGCCATAGAACAGGAGATGGAGAGCTTGGCCCCATTAGCATTAGCATGATGTGTTGACTAACTAAGAAGCCTCAGAGAATTAGAAAAAATAATTATGTTATCATACACCGAAGTGTATAGTGCACTCTTTGGTAATGTGATTCAACAGAAGCCCTCTTGCCTGACATGATTGGAACTGAAGGTGGTTACTTAATTTAAAAATGCCTGATGGAAAGAGCCATCATAAACATTTTATATTGACCTTAAACATGTAAATGTACTTAGAAGTTTATTTGCTGATTTTCTGATTGTAGGGCAAGGCCTTTGAGTATGGCTCAGCTGATTGGAGTTTTGCGGTATCTTTTTTTAAAACACACCAATAGTGATTATTTCAATTTCTTTAAAGTACTGTAATCAGTTTAAAGATACTCATGCAGCAATGTGATCACAAAACTCTACTAAATTTCTATGGTTGTCTTTTATGTTTTTTCATTTTGTCTCAAAAGGACAATTTGTAAATAACTGGCTTTTGGTTTGTCTTTCCAAGGCATTCACCTTAATTTTCACAGAAACAATTATTTAAAAAAGTGAATTATGAAATATTTGACATATAAATAAAGTTTAAATGTAACAAACATAAGTCAACACCCAACAAAGAAATAAAACATTACCAATTCAGGGGCCGGCCCCGTCCCACGGCCCAGGGTTCAGCCGTTCAGATCCTGGGCACAGACACAGAACTGCTCATCAAGCCATGCTGAGGCAGCATCCCATACAGCACAACCAGAAGGACCTACAACTAGAATATACAACTATGTACTGGGGCTTTGAGGAGAAGAAAAAAAAGAAGAGAGAGACACTGGCAATAGATGTTAGCTCAGAGCAAAAATTTCCCAGCAAAAAAACCGAAAAAAAAGAATGCAGCCTTCTTATTAAAAAAAAGGAAAAATCAGCCTTCAATTTCTAGTAAAATGGCAGGATAAATTCCTGGATCAATCTGTTTGCTTTAAATAACAAAACTCCTGCTTAGAATATGAAAGTACACACTATCACTCCTTAAAGATTTGACACGCTCTTAACAAAGTAAGACATTTTCAGAACAGGCACTGAGTGAAGGCAGGAAACTAGAGAGTTAAGCAGAGCGTTGTAGCTAGTTTTCACTAGCTAGCATTAGCCAAACCTAGTGAACTTGAAGTTTGGTTTTCACTGCCTCACAGGACTTAGGAGACTGGAGACAGAGCCTAATTTGGGGAGTTGCTTAGGAGATAACCCCATAAACCTAAGACCCCAATGGACTACCCCAGGGGTCAGTAAGCTTTTTCTGTAAAGGGTCAGGTAGTAAATATTTTAGGCTTTGTGGGCTATACAGTCTCTTTCAAAACTACTCGGCTCTGCTGTCGTGGTACGGAAGCAGCTGTCAATAGTGTGTGAGAGAGTTGGTGTGGCTGTGTTCCAGCGAGACTTTATTTACAAAGCAGGTAGTGGACCAGATTTTGCCTGCCAGCCTTAGTTTGCCAATTCCTTAATGTAAGGATGACCTATAAATAATTTCCTTCTCCCGGCTTTGGACGACTGCAAGTAAAATTGAGTGTCTCAGTTGCTTTAGTAAAGGGGAGAAATGACTGCTAAGGATTTGGAGCCTCAAGCTGGCTCTTATTTGAATTCCAAAAAATCTTAAGCAGACTTAAGACTTAAAATAGTTTCTGGAGGAAACTTTATTTCAGGCCTTAAAGAACTTCCACAAATAAAATTCCAAGGAAAATGAACATTTCACAGTAGGAATAATTAAATCTACCAGAAAATACATGAGCAAGAATCAGCAGAGATAACAGAAAAGGCCACCATAGATTTCAGATATTGAACTTATCAAACACAAATTATAAATTAACTATGATTGTTCTTTTTCAAGAAATAAAGGACAAACTTGAAAATATCAGTATGAGACAGGAAACTGTAAAAAAAAAACCCAGATTGTAAAAAACAATCAAATATAACATAAAGATGAAATAGAGTGAAGTAAAAACTCAGTGGATTTAATAATAGAGCCAATGCATTTGAAGAGAGAAGTGGTGAATCTAAGGCAACTACCCAGAAGACAACAAGAAGTGGAAAATATGACAGCCTACGCATCATGGAGGATAGAGTGATAAAGTGTAGTGTTCATCTAATGTACACTCTGTCCAGTGACTGGGACAGAGGAAACATCTGAAGAGACTATGACTGAGCATCTTTGAAACAGATCATAAAAGCATCAGCCCACAGATTCAAGCCAAATTACCTCAAGAAGAATAAATACAAACTCCCCACCTAGACACATTCTTGTGAAATTAGAGAACACGAAAGGAAAAGAGAAGAAAAGATTGTCAGAAGACAAATTACCTACCGAAAAGGAAGGGGGTGACAGACTGATTTCATAGCAGCAGTGAAACTGGCAGACAATGGAACAATATCTTCAATGTGCTGAGAGAGAAAGTGTCAATCTAGAATCTCCACCCAGCAAAAATGTCTTTCAAGAATAAGGATGAAATAAAGACATTTTCAGACAAAGGCTGAGATGGTTGCTGTCAGAACCTCACCAATGGAAGTGCAAATGCATTTCCTTATGGCAAAAGAAAAGTGATCGCAGATACAAGGTCTGAGATGCAAGAAAAAAATGAGCACAGAAAGTGGTAAAAATGTGGACAAATCTACATAAACATCAGGTGTATAAAACTATAATGTCTTAGGGGATTAAAAAATTTTTTAAATACAGCATGTAAATCTGGGGGTGAGAGGTGGTAGAGGTGAGTGAAGTAGTCTTGTAAGTTCCCCCAGTCTTTAGGGAAGAGGGAAAGGTGATGATTAACGTTGGACTCGGAGAAGGTAGACATGCTTGTTGGAACTTCTGTGACAGCTTTTACAAGAAGAGAAACAGCTGTCAGCTCTAAATTAGTAAAGAAGAAGAAGTAAAATTAGAAAAACATACCCAGTGAGTTAAAAACAAGATAAAAAAGAAAAATAAGAAGAGGGCTGGGGCTGGCCCTGTGGCTGAGTGGTTAAGTTTGCGTGCTCCCCTTCGGCGCCCCAGGGTTTCACTGGTTCGGATCCTGGGTGTGGACATGGCACTGCTCATCAGGCCATGCTGAGACGGCATTCAACATAGCACAACTAGAAGGACCCACAACTAGAATATACAACTGTGTACTGGGTGGCTTTGGGTAGAAAAAGCAGAAAGAAAAAGAAAGAAGATTGGCAACAGTTGTTAGCTCAAGTGCCAAACTTAAAAAAAAGCCCAATGGAAAAATGAGAAAAGACGAACATTTCACAAAAGAAGAAACTTAAATTGCCTATAAATATATGAAAAGACAATCTCATTAGTAACCAAGGAAAGGAAAATAAAAAGCATATCAGCGTACCATTACACACCCATTAGATTGGCCAAAGTGTGATAATATGAAGTGTTTGTCAGGATGTGGAACAGTAGGTGCTCTCATGCATGACGTGAATTGAATACCTTCCTATATGTCATGCAAGAAGGTATTATAGTAAAACTGCTTTTTTAAAAAGTTTGTCATTACCTGGTGAAGTTGACACATGAACATATCCTACAACCTAGAAATCACACTTCTAGGTATATTCTCAAGAGAAACTTGTGCACGTGTGCACTGGGATAACATGTACAGGAATGTATAGTGGTGTAACTTGTAATAGCTCCAAACTGGAAACCATTCAATGAACGCCAATCCTCAATTGTATAAATGATGCAGTGTAGTGTTACACAGCAACGAGAGGGAATGAACTACAGGGTCACACGTTAACATGGGTGAATATCAGATCCATAATGTTTAGTGAAAGTAATGTATACCATATGATTTAAAAACGGATATGCATGGGTGGTAAACTTTCTTTTCTTTAAGGTAAGGTTGTGATTTTTACCACTTAGAAGAATGGTTGGTAATCTCTGTGCATGAAAGATGTTGATGCAACCTATTAGGGGCACACAAGGACTTCCAATATATTGGTGATGTTCTATTAATTTGTGTGATTTTTATGGAGTTAACTTTAATATTTAAAAAATTGAACATTTTTTGTTTCTTATACACTCTTCTACATGAATGATATATTTCATAATAGAGCATTTTGAAAATACATTTAGTGAGCCCTAATGAGGAAGAGTAATAGAACGTCATTGATTATCCACAGGTGGTTTTGATTCTCATATGTACAATAATTAACACAGAGCCCAAGTGCCTGCAACATAGAAGGTGCTAAGATGTTTGTGGAAAAAAGGGAGGAATATGAGATCAGAACCTGTTATTATGGATCTCATGATCAAGTTAGGGGTATAAGTACAACACAACCATGGGAAGATAACATAAGGCACAATATATAAGGACTATTTGAGAATTATAGGCAGTAAGTGCTATAAAAATTCAGTGAAGTAAGAGAGTGTATTTGTGAATGATGTAATTAGGGGATGCCTAGCAGAGGAATTGGTATTTGAAGAAGTACTTTAATAATATAACAATCATAGTAGCTAACATTTATTGAACATTTAATGTATGTTAGGCCTTGTTCTGAGTACTCTTGTATGTTAACTCACTGAATCATCTTAAGACCATATAAAAGAAAAACTGTTGTTAGCTCAGTCTTGCAGATGAGGAACTGAAGGTCAGAGTAGCAGGCCAAATACTTCTCCAGGGTCACACAGCCAGGAGGTGACAGAGTAAGGATATAGGCAGTTAGACCTCAGAGCTTTTGCCCCAGACCATCATGGTTTGCTGTCTCTTGGAGGACTGAATTATATTGAGAAAGGAAAATAAGTAACAAGTAAGGAGATGATGCCATTAACAGAATCAGGGCACCTGGAAAATCTGACATAAAAATAAGACTCAAAGGTAGTATGATAATTTGGAGGCAGATTGTGAAAACATTTGGTATTTTGCTTTCATATATACTTTAATTGAATTTGTTGGACATAATAGTTCAAATAATCTGAACTACGGAGAGATGACTTTGGACAAGTTGCAATGCTTTTTGCCTGTTTGTCCTCTAAAATTCAAGGGAGAGAGGAAAGAGGGAAAGAAGAGATGGGGAAAGAGAGACACAGAGAGAGAGAGATTACTTTGGATTTCTGTGGTTAGATAAGACTTTATGGAAGGTGAATGTCAAACAAGGTCTTTAGCAAGAACGAGGTAGACTGTGTATGCAGAGAGAGAAGAGAACGTCCTCTATAGGTCTTCTACTTGATACAAAGGAGAGGTGATCTCTTAGATTAATGTGAAACATGTCAGCCTAAGAAATGCCATCTTTCTAAATTTGTCTTTCTAATTAAAATCTTTACTGGGACAGGAAAAACGTAAAACTGTTTATGGTTTATAAATTGGATTAGAAAGATATGAGAAGGACCATAAATGGAGATGAAATAATATCTTTAAACGAATTTTCTTTTCAAAAGAGCATAAAAATAAGTTTAAAAAAATAGAGGTGGGACATAAAGGATATTTTAGCTAATTTAATTTTTGACATCCATATGGCAAATAACAGGTATACAATGCTTTAAAAGAAGTCCAGCACGGGATAGTGAGCAAAGTTATTATATTGTCATTGGATTTAATAGGTGAAACAATTTCACAACTGGTCATCAGATTTAGAAGGTAGTTTGTCTTCTTGTGAGATCAAGCACTTGTTTGTGATCTCACATCCAGTCCCTTATAATAATTGGAAGTACAGTAAATACATTCTCACTCTTAGGATCCTGAGACAGACACATAAACCCTCCGAGTTCTAAGCTTCTGATTCATATGGTCTTTGTAAGAAGCCAGAGAGCTGACTTGCATTGCCTCAGGCCTTAATAACAAATGAGAATGTGGGCTAAAAGGGATGGTAGGTTCTGTTATTATTAAAAGAAAAAAAAAGCTGTGTGAAAATTGGTAAGTGAGAGTGAGTCAGGTTTTGCAAAATAGCATTACTGCATGGAAAGTCTGCTCATCTGCAAACACTGGACATGAAGGTAGGGGAGTACTTTAATATCGGGGTCAGACAATAGACTTTCACAGAATTAAGGCACAGTGACTATGGAAATCTTGATCCAAATATTGTCTTTTGTTTCCTTTTTAGATTGCAGCGTATCTGCAAACTCCAAATTAGTTATTGTCACAGCAGGTGCACGGCAGCAGGAAGGAGAAAGTCGCCTCTCCTTGGTCCAACGTAATGTAAATATCATGAAATCAATCATTCCTGCCATAGTCCATCATAGTCCTGACTGTAAGATGCTTATTGTTTCAAATCCAGGTGAGTCTTTTCTCCCCTCTTTAACTGCATAAGAATGATCTTTCCATACCATTCCTTTAAAAAAAAACCACACACTTCATTGAGGTAACATTTATTCAGTAAACTTCACCCATTTAAAGTATAAAATACAATGAGTTATTTCTAGACTTATTGAGATACAATTGACATCTAATGTGTAAGTTTAAGGTGTACAACATGAGGATTTGATATACTTATGTACTCAAAATTATTACCACAGTAGGCTTAGTTACCTCCATCCCCTCACATAATTACCATTTCCTTTTTGTGATGAGAACATGTAAGATTTACTCTCTAAGCAACTTTCAAGTATATAATACAGTATTGTTAACTATAGTCACCATGCTGTTAGCTATAGTCACCCAGAACTTACTCATCTTCTATCTGGAAGTTTGCATCCTTTGAACCACATCTCCCCGTTTCCCCCAGACCCTGGCGGTCACATTCTACTCTCTGTTTCTATGAGTTCGCCTCTTTTAGATTCCACATGTAGGTGACATCAGACAGTATTTGTCTTTCTCTGTCAGACTTCTTTCACTTAGCGTAATGCCTTTGTCGACTGAGGAAAAATCACTACAGTTTAAAGAGGAGATATTTATTTGGGCAATTAGAATTGCAATTTAGGAGACACAGATTCAGGCAGAAACCCAAAATGTACTCCAAGGAAGACCAAGAAGGCAAGGGTTTATAAAGGCAAAAAGAGAGAAATTACACAGGTGGTTTTGCAGGATTTGTGATTGGTAGTGGCAAGAACTCTTGCTTGTTGGCTACACGTGACTGTTTACTAAGGCCGTCTCTAAGGCAAAAAGTTCTTGTCTCTGGGAGTAAGCATATTTCTTGAAAGAAGGTCAGGATGACAGCAGTGAAGCACAGTTCAAAAGTTACATTTCACCTGGGTAGAGACGTGGTGTGTGTGCAGAAGCCCCATTTCCTTTTTTTTTGTTTTTCAGGGAAGGATTCACCCTGAGCTAACATCTGTTGACAGTCTTCCTCTTTTTTTTTTCTCCCCAAAGCCCCCAGTACATGGTTGTATATCCTAGTTGTAAGTCCTTCTAGTTCTTCTATGTGAGCTGCTGACAGACAGGTGGTATGGTTCCGCGACCAGCAAACGAACCTAGGCCGCCGAGGCAGTGAGAGTGCCACACTTTAACCAGCAGACCATGAGGGCTGGCTGGAGCCTCATTTCCTTATCGGCCTCCCAGCTCCATTTTAGAAGCCCTGACATAGTCCCTCCACTTTGTTATCACTATCCACACCTTCAAGATCCATCCATGTTGTCACAAATGGCAGGATTTCCTTCTTTCTGGTGGCTGACTATTCCATTGTATATGTCTATACCTCATCTGCTTTATCCATTCATCCATAGACAGACACTTAGGTTCTTTACGTATCTTGGCTATTGTGAATAATGCTGCAATAAACATGGGAATGCAGGTAATCTCTTTGAGATCCTGATTTCATTTCCTTTGGATATATACCCAGAAGTGGGATTGCTGGACCATATGGTAGTTCTATTTTTAATTTTTTGAGGAACTTCCCTGCTGTTTTCTATAGTAGCTGTACCAATTTACATTCTCCCTGACAGTGCACAAGGGTTCTCTTTTTCCCACGTCCTCGCAAACACGTCCTCTTAATGATAGTTATTCTAATAGGTGTGAGGTGATATTTCATTGTGGTTTTAATTTGCATTGTGGTTTTAATTTCCCTGATGATTAGTGATGTTGAGCATCTTTTCATTTACCTGTTGACCATTTGTATGTTATCTTTGGAAAAATGTGTGTTCAGTTCCTCTGCCCGTTTTTTTTTCTATTTTATTTTTATTGAGGTTATGATAGTTTACAACCTTGTGAAATTTCAGTTGTACATTATTTTCAGTCGTGTTGTAGGTGCACAACTTCACCCTTTGTGCCCACCCTCCACCCCTCTTTCCCCTGGTAACCACTAATCTGTTCTCTTTGTCCACGTGTTTAACTTCCACATATGATTGGAGTCATATAGAGATTGTCTTTGTCTCTGGCTCATTTCACTTAACATAATACCCTCAAGGTCCATCCATGTTGTTGTGAATGGGATGATTTTATCCTCTTTTATGGCTGGGTAGTATTCTATTGTATATACATACCGTATCTTCTTTATCCAATCATCACTCGATGCCTCTGCCCATTTTTTAATCAAATTGTATGTGGTTTTTTTGCTATTTTGTTTGAGTTCCTTAGATATTTTGGATGTTACCCCTTATTAGCTATAGGATTTGCAAATATTTCCTCCCATTCCATAGGTTGCATTTTCATTTTATTGACTGTTTCTTTTGCCATGCAGAAGCTTTTTAGTTTGATATAGTCCCACTTATTTTTTCTTTTATTTCTTGTGCTTTTGTGTCATATCTGAAAAATCATTGAGCAATGTCAAGGAGATTTTTCCCTGCTTTCTTCTAGGAATTTTATGATTTCAGGTCATATGTATAAGGCTTTAATTCATTTCGAGTTAATTTTTATGAGTGGTGTAAGAGAGGAGTCCAATTTCATTCTTCTTAATGTGAGTATCCAGTTTTCCCAGCATCACTTATTGAAGAGACTATCCTTTCCCCACTGAGTATTCTTGGCTCCCTTGTCAAATATTAATTGACCGTTTATGCAAGAGTTGATTTCTTGGCTCTCAATTCTGTTTCATTGTCTGTTTTTATGCCATTACTATACTGTTTTGATTACTATAGCTTTCTAATATAGTTAGAAATCAGGAAGTGTGTTGCCTCCAGCTTTGCTCTTCTTTCTCAGGGTTGCTTTGGCTATTTAGGATCTTTTGTGGTTCCATATGAATTTTAGGTCTGTTTTTTCCTTTTTTTTTTTTTTTAAAGATTTTATTTTTCCTTTTTCTCCCCAAAGCGCCCCAGTAAATAGTTGTGTATTTTAGTTGTAGGTGCTTTTAGTTGTGGCATGTGGGACGCCGCCTCAACGTGGCCTGATGAGCTGTGCCATGTCCACGCCCAGGATCCGAACTGGCAAAACCCTGGGCCGCGGAAGCAGAGCACGCGAACTTAACCACTCTGCCACGGGGCCGGCCCCAAGGACTATTTTTTCTGTTGCTGTGAAGAATGCCATTGGAATTTTGATAGGGATTGCATCAAATCCTATTAATTCTTCCAACCCATGAACATGGGATATCTTTCCATTTATTTATGTCTTCTTTAATTTCTTCCATCAAAGGCTTATCGTTTTTAGTGCACAGATCTTTTATCTTCTTGGTTAAATTTATTCCTAAGTATTTTATTGCTTTTGATACTTTTGTGAATGGGATTGTTTTCTTTGTTTTTAAGATATTTTGTTGTTAGTGTATAGAAACTCAACTGATGTCTGTATATTGATTTTGTATCCTGCGATTTTACAGAATTCATTCATCAGTTCCAACAGTTTCTTGGGCGGGGGTGGTCTTTAGGATCTTCTATAAATAAGAGCATACCATCTGCAAACAGAAACAGGTGTACTTCTTCCTTTCCAATTTAGATACCTTCTAATTATTTTTCCTGGCTAATTGCTCTGGCTAGGACTTCCAGTACCATGTTGAATAGGAGTGGTCAGGATGGGCACCCTTGTCTTGTTCCTGATCTTAGAGGAAAAGCTTTTATGTTTTTACCTTTGAGTATGATGTTGGCTGTGGGCTTGTCATATACGATTTTTGTTATGTTGAGGTACATTCATTCTCTAGCCACTTTGTTGAGAGTTTTTATCATGAAAAGATGTTGAATTTTGGCAATTGCTTTTTCTGCATCTATTGAGATGATCATGTAATTTTTATCTTTCATTCTATTAATGTGATGTGTCACATTGATCTATTTGCATGTGTGAAACTGTCCTTGCATCCCACCTGATCATGGTGTATGATCCTTTTAATGTGGCGTTGAATTTGGTTTGCTAATATTTTGTTGAGAGTTTTTGCATCTATGTTCATCAGGGAAATTGACCTGTGTTTTTCCTGTTGCATCATTATCTGGCTTTAGTATGAGAGTAAGGCTAGCTTTGTAAAATGAGTTTTGAAGTGTTCCCTACTTTTCAAGTTTCTGGAAGAGTTTGAGAAGGATTGGCATTAGTTCTTCTTTAAATGTTTGGTAGCGATCACCAGGGAAATACCTGGTCCTGGGTTTTTCTTTGTTGGGAGACTTTTGATTATTGAGTCAATCTCATTACTTGCTATTGATCTGTTCATATATTCTCTTTCTTCAGGATTTACTCTTAGTAGGTTTATGTTTCTAGGAATTTATTCATTTCTTCTAGGTTATCCAATTTGTTGGCGTATATCCTCCTGTTCATGGTAATCTCTTAAGACCCTTTGTATTTGTTTGGTATCAGTTGTAAGGTCTCCTCTTTCATTTCTGATTTCATTTACTTGAGTCTTCTCTCTTTTTTCTCAGTCTAGTCAAAGATTTGTCAATTTTGTTTATCATTTCAAAAAAATAGCTATTAGTTTTGTCAGTCTTTTCTTTTCTTTCTTTTTTTTTTTTAATTACCACATCAAGTTTTTTTTTTTTTTTAAGATTTTTAAAATTTTTTTCATTTTTCTCCCCAAAGTCCCCCGGTACAAAGTTGTATATTCTTAGTTGTGGGTCTTTCTAGTTGTGGCATGTGGGACGCCGCCTCAGCATAGCTCGATGAGCAGTGCCATGTGCATCCAGGATTCGAACCGACGAAACACTGGGCCGCCTGCAGCGGAGTGTGCGAACTTAACCACTGGGCCACGGGGCCGGCCCCTGTCAGTCTTTTCTATTGTCTGTTTTGTCCCTAATTTATTTCCTCTCTGATCTTTGTTATTTCCTTCCTTCTGCCAACTTTGGGCTTAGTTTGTTCTTCTATTTCTGGTTTCTTTGAGTATAAAGTTAGGTTGTTTATTTGAGATCTTTCTTTTTTCTTAGTGTAGGCATTCAATGCTATAAACTTCCCTCTAAGAACTGCCTTTGCTTTGTCCCATAAATTTTGCTATGTTGTGTTTCA